AGGTGTGAATCAAGTTCAGGGTAGGTTTACGGTTAGGCATGTGTTTCTAATAGTTATGATAAGGGTTAGGTTTAGGAATTGTGCAGGAAATGTACGGGAAATGAATGGAAGTCAATGGACAGTCGCCACAAGGATATTTTAACAAAAAGTGTGTGTGTTGTTGTATGTTTTCAGAAATGCCTTTGACTGGTGTATTTTAATTGTTAACCCACATAACATTAGTTTAAGTTTGTGGTCCAACTATTTTCTATATGCTTTACCATCTGCTTCTAATCACATTTTTATCTTAACTTGCATTTATTCAGTTTTTCTTTTCCTTATAATTTACTGTTTAATTCAGGTAAAGCATTCTGAATTCTCTTTGCACCGCATTATGCTATACAAATCAACTTGCTTTGCCTTGCCTTGGCCTGCAATGGACTGGTGACCTGCCCAGGTTGTACCTGGCTTTTTGCCCATAAACTGCTGGAGATAGGCATCTGCCTTCTTATGACAATACAGACAATTAATGAATAAATGTAGAATGACAGCTTATGCTCTCTGATGGTCATCAATTGAGAAGCATCCATCTGCATTCGAGGGTACGGCTATTTTCAACTTTTCCAATCAATGCCAATCACCAAAATTTTTGGACATTATGGTTCATTTAATATGTGAAGGCCAGGACAAAAGTGAGCTAAAACTGGTGGATGAGAAGTACAGTAAGTCTGGGCGACATGGCCTTAAAATCAGATGTTTTGTGGTACTATTGTGATACCAATAAAAATTATGAAAAAAAAAAAAAACACTACCGGTACTCTGATTCTTTAAAATTGTTCTTAGGTGACTGTATGCTGTGAGTCATGGTACAGCAATTATAGCCCCACAATTACAAATGCTGCTCTGAAAAAATGTACAAATTTGAAATAACCTTCTTCATGAAACCAGCTAGAAAAAGAAGTGTTATTTAAATAAATTAAGATCCGGTAGAAACAACATTTAATCATAGTCTCAAAGTTTACCAATGCCCCAATGGAAAAAATGAAAGGTAACGAAGAGAAACGTAATAATAAAAAATCATAATTAACCCATTTTTTTTTTTATCATTGCTAATTTCAATTACTTGTTTGGGGACTAAATCAAATTTGCTGTCATGAATAGAAAGTCATGACAATAATGATAAATATCCACCCTAAGGTCTGTGGATTAGCTTCCTGCCAAGAGCGACTTCTTTTTCATTAGTGTCGTGTTTGGCCCCGATAGTGATACTCGATACCTGGCTGTGCAGTATTGGCCGATACCATACCGATACCATCTGTTTGAAACTGATGAGTGTGTGTATATATGAAGAAACTGCATACTGCTTGGATGTAAAATAATTGCCATCGTGGCTTTGTCAAGCTGCTGCCTACTTTTGGGGAGGAAAAAATAAAAAGACTAATACAAAGTGAACCCAGTAAAACTTTATATTGCCTATCCGGATTGGCTGACAATATTTGAATAAACTTTTGGCTTTCAAAATGGTATCAGTGCCCTATTTGTTGGTACTCGCCAATACCGATATCACCATTTTAGTGCAGTATCGGGACACTAATTTTCATTAGACTTCTAAAGTGCACTACTAGCATTGATTGTGAAAATGGCAGCACCATATCATTGAAGTATGGCATACTTAAAGAACCTAAACCCAATTACTGATTCACCCCTACTGGTGACAAGACAGTTTGTAACTTGAAACTCAAAAACTATTTCTCTAATCAGTGGTAGCAGGTCATGCTCACTGTTCCTTTTGCCTGCACAGAACTAGGGAAGAAAGCGTTTAGCTGTGCAGCTCCTTATGTGTGGAATGTTTTACAAAGAAACTGGAAGTTGACTGAGTTTTTATCTTTAAATCTTTTAAGTTGAAATTGAAAGAATTTGAAGCAGCCTCAATGATCTGTAATTGTTTACTTGATACGTTTTTTACGTACCTGTCATTTACTTTAATGTATCTCTGTTTTTTATGTAACTTTGCTGCCTCTTGGCCAGGACTCCCATGAAAAAGAGGTTTTTAATCTCAATGGGAATCGTTTTTTCCTGGTTAAATAAAAAATAAAAAACCCAACAATATAGGATCAAGAGAGTGAGGGTTTTTATGCAGATAACAGGAAGGCTAAACTAATCACAGCATGTCATGTCATCTCCTGGTTACCATATTGATCTACATTTTCTAGCATATGCACACTAGGGCTGCTGTTTTAGTAAGGCTAATCATTTTAATTATGCTAATTAGTATCAAATGATAAAGATTCTGAAATTTCATTTTCAAATCATTTTGTTTTTTTTATAAGAAGAATATAGTAAAATACTGCTTTACAAAGCCTTTTCCATTATACAACTGAGTAATGTAACGTTTATTTATTAAAACGTCATGACAGGAAGGATAGGAAACAAAAACAAAAAAATAGTTGGAGCATCCACACTTTTTCCAAATCAATTTTTTTAAGGGTGCACTCTTTACATAAAACAAACTCGATTTATTGAGAAACATTTTCATTAATAAAATATTTAATAATTGTGTTAAAAAAACAGAAAACAAACCAAC